CACTCCTAAAGGGGGCGGCAGACGGTTGAAAATGTGGATTTAGAAATTTAAAAAAAAAATACGATAAGTAAGCACAGAAAAACGCAAGTTTTGTTAGGTATTGGAAACTTAATTTTTATATTTTTTAAAAATATTTAAATGTTTATAAGTTATTTTGTTGCGATATTTCATAAATCTAAACTGTTTAAATCATTAATTAAAAAATAAATTAATTTGAAATTATTTTATGGCAGGTTTGATTAAGATACTTAGTATATTGTTGAAGGATCCTGACAAAAAAATTATGTCGGAATAGTTTTTAACACTCATGAGCCGACTCCTTCTAGACTAAGTATTACATTGGTATTTACCTATATGATCAAAGCTAAAACTGGAGAATTGGATTTTTTTAGACGCAAAATACCTAATAATTAAGTGTACCTAGCATATCTATCGGATGGATACAACAAATATATTACAATAATAACTGTCAAAATTAATTTAGTTTATCACTAAGCAGTCAAATTATTATTGTCTATTGATACAATGCATCATCTTCATAATCATTGTTAGTCAAATTTTTTATTCCCGTTTTCGTTCTTTTTGCAGATAAGCAGATTAATCGATCAAATCTATACCAGTCCCATAGGAATTACGGGAGCTGGATTCTTTATAGTAACCAGGAATTTTATGCTACAGGTAAATGAGTAAAATGTTAATTTTTTTCAACTGCGGGAACTAAAACTGGGTGCCTACTCTTCAACTATAGAAAAATGAGTGTAAGAGCACTATCTCACGATTTGGCCTTGCTGCGCAAGTCACTCGACTAAAATTATAAGAAATCATGTCAACAGCGAGAGCCGTGTTGCAAGACACCATCATTATCGTATTTGTTTGATAAACTGAAAATTTGCCAAATTTTTCGGAATTTTTATTTTCCAACTTACGAGCTAGATTGGATTTCTGTTGCATACACACGTTTAATGCGTTTAATATTTTTGTAATATATTATGACATGCGTACAATTAAAAATATTTTTAATTACAGGGCGATTCACAAATGTAACTGTTGCATGTTTTTGTAATATGTTATTACGTACATACAATTAAAAGTATTTTTAAAAAATGAATGACGGTAGTTTTTTTGCAAAATTTCAGTAATTCTAGTGGGTCGACCACATATTGCACAATACACATTTCTTATACAGGGTGTTTTATAGTGAAAACGACAAAATGTTTCTTAAGGATTACTTCAAAACTCTGTACTTATGAATTGATTTTTGAAGAAAGTAATATCACCAAAATATGCGTACCTCTAAGCTTCAAAATATACAAAGTGGCTTATTTGTGGGAAGATATTCTATTTTAATAAAAGTACAAAAACCACAAACACCATAAACTTTCCCGGTCAAATGTACCTAACCTTTTTTTCGGTATATAATAATTTTAACACCGTTTTAAGAGTTATTTATTTTAAATCGGATACTATGACCAGTTTTCCAACTACACAGCGTTAAAGTGGAGAATTGTTGATTTTAGTTTATTTTTTCTTTAAACTAGATTGTCTTTATATAGAATATATAGATTAAATATAAGTTTTGGGGAGATGTCCAATACAAAGGACAGTTTAAAACGGTTGCGGCTCGTGAACAAAATATTGGTGGTTTACAATGACAGAATATAGGTATCAGTACAGATTGTAGGTAAAAAACTTTGTGTTTTAGAAAGGTATATAATACCGAAAACTGAAAGTTTTTTACCTACATCTGTACTAATACATATCTATACTATGTCATTGTGAATCCCCAATATTTTGGACACAAGCCGCTAATGGTTTAAAATAATTGTTACAGGGTGATTCACGAATAGATCACAATAATAACATATTTTTGCAAACACTGAATAACGACAGTTGCGTCACAGGATGAGCCATCCAGCCAACCACCAAACAACAATTATGTTTTAAAATTATTAAAAAGACGACCTTGCATTTCTTTAGTGACTTTTGAGTAAGTTAATATCATTACATTAGGTAGGTATGTAACCATAATATTTTAAAATATACACAGTAGGTAATCTAACTGTTTCTATTATTAGAACACCCTGTAGAGGAAATGTATTGCATACTATTTTGTTGCCAAAATACCAAATTGTGTAGTATTTTTTAAAAATATACTTCCCTCTCTGTATCTGTAGCGTGTGGAGGGTGGGTTACCCCCACGGCTCTTAGGCCTCATTAGGCCCATTGTGCATCCTTCTAAGATGATAGGCACCTCCTAGCTCGTGAGCCAGCCTACAGATTTAATGTAGTTGACAACGTCACCAAGAGGTGCTTCTCTATGATATGGAGATGCTTCCGTACTTGGCAATGACCAGCCAGAATGCCTGTGACTAGGCGCAGATTCTGTCTAGTCATAGTCAAGTATTTGTTTGCTGCAGTGTTGTCAGGATAACTTAAGAGCTCCCTGGCAACTCTGCAGTTTCTTGTTTCATCCCATCTTTCCTTGAATTTCACAAGGGAATGTTCTTTAATTAGGTATGTCACTACCGATTTTGTCAGGCCATTAGAAGGGCCAGCTCCAAAAAGTATTTAGTTGGCTACTTTCTTGGCTAGTGACCTTTGATCCATCTTAAGATGACCACATTTTATTGCCAAAATACCAAATTGTGTAGTATTTTTTAAAAAATATGCTTCCCTGACGTCACAGTAAAATTAGTGAGATTTTGGAAAAACTAATCGCAAAATTTGAAAATTAAGTGTTAAATAGTCAATATAATAATTATTGCACAATGACTAACATTAGGAATAATTTTTGTTTTTAATAAAATTATACTTGATACAGTAAGCTGAAAATTGAAAAATTAAAAAATATACAACAAATTATAGGGATAAAATTTTGATTTGATAATTCTATGATACTAGTCTATGTCTGATGTCACCAAGTGAGTGAGGCTCAACAATTAAATAATTGAAGACCCTCCCTCACCTATTCTGACATCACCCACAAAGCTAGTAACATTTGGATTTAATGCAATTTGAAAACTAAGTTTATGAAAACTACAACTCAGACAAACTTGTGTTGTCCATACCGACATCTCTATGTTTATCCAAATATAAAAGATAGGAGAAAATTTCACTTAAATGTTTAATATCTGATCTTTTATTAATGCTATTGTCGTGTTGATAGATGTGTGAAATTTCTAAGAATTGTCTTTTTGAGATGTTAGTTTCTCTTTCTAATATCGTTACATTTTCATAGTCCATAATATGGTCATTTTTATGGACATGTTCAGCCAAAGCACAACATTTAGGGTGTAGTCTACTGTCGCTCCTGTGGGATGTTATACGGTCTTTTAAGCATCTAGAAGTTTGGCCAATATATGATTTATGGCATGTACCACAAGGGATACTGTAGACCACATCACTCAAAGAAGTTATGGGTACTTTATCTTTCAATTTAGCGGTAGCTCTGTGTTTTCTAAATACATATGGCATTAGTTATCACTAATATGTCGTATAGTCCGTTCACACCTAAAGGTATCACGTAGAGGCTAGCCACGAAATTAGTGTGCATCCCAACATACTCGTAAGAGCTAAGCAATGAATTTTCCGGTCACGTCGTGAATGGACGTTCTATCATGGGTTATGTCACCATTAACGACATGGAATAAATGGCGGTGAACGAGTGAGTGAATGAGCGAAGCGAATGGGAAAGTATGACCTTCAAATGGTGACACAATAAGCCGCAGGCTGCAGTGAAGCCGCTACAATCGGATTAGGGTGATAGTATGAGAAGTCATCCGAAGGGGAGAAACAACACAAAACACGTTTTTCTGAACAAATAATTAAAAATATCTGCAAGATTATTAAAATAGTAGTTTATGCAACAAGAGTGGATATGATGACCATATTGCACGAAAAGATGGAGTCTCACTCATCTGAGTGTGATAAGGACAATTAACTCAAGTTGTATAGTATTGTTACGCAGCACCCTGCAGTAGCCTGCGGCTGTTATTGGAAACGTACGAATACAAAAAAAGAAGTGCAATGTTACTCATCACCCTACAGTGTGCTGCGGTCGTCATAAGTAAAAGTACTAGTAAAAGAAGATAGAATAGTCCAGAAATGTCTGGAAATGTCATTCCACGTCAAGGAAAAGTCTAGACAATTCGAGAATGTTCAAGAAGGGAAAAGCAAGCTATATAAGCAGGATCCTGACGTCAGTTTTACAGTTTTATGATAGACGGTACATGTTAATGTTATCAGTTGTATAATTGTTGTTAAAGTTGAGTTAAAATAAATTGTGATACCAAAAACCGGTGTAACAGTATATTTTTTCTACGATCTACTATCGAAAATCTACAAATTTTAAAAATTATTTTAGGTTATTACGACAAAAAAACTAATTTTAAAATAATTTATGACTTTTACTAATTTATAAAATAAAATAAACATGAACAGAAAGATTTAATTGAACTAGTTCCCAGCCCAGGTTTGAACCCGGGCCTTTTGCATGAAAGCCAGATGCCCTAGTATCTGCTCTATTGCCACACATTTCAATTTAGTTTTAATATTCGTAATTAAATTAATTTCATATAGTTTTATTTAAATTTATGTTTCATTTGTAAATTTAGACGAAATAAAAATAGAAATGTTATTATTTATCGATTCTACACGAGAATAACTTATTTTAATTTATATTTAATCTCAATAACTGAAGATATACTAAAACAATTAGTTTTAGCAGAATTTAAAATTTTTAAAAATAATAGTAGTAGGGTGATCAAAATATGAACTATAATTGGTGGATTTCATTTCTTGTGCAATATTATTACTAGGTAAAATGAATATGAATTTAAATTCGTTCAGTGTTCAAAGTTGAATATTCGTTCAGCTGAACGCAATGGCATACTTATACTTAAAACGCAATACACGATAAAAATAACCTACTTTCTTGAAAACTAAATAACTTTAAGAAGCATTATAAACACACTACAAGTCGTTGGTAATAAATTAATATGATCTTCTATTTGTCATGAAATAAATGAAGTTGCGCATATGCAACTAACAATAGAAGAAAGTAATATTGATTGCCTAGTTGTTAGTAATGTTTTACTAAAATACAATTTTATGAATATTATAGACAAAATTAGAAATATATTGTATGTAATATGTTATGAAATGCCGTTTTATGTAATTAGTTCATGTTGTAGGACCTCGCTCTGCTCTTTCAGCAAATAATCACTCGTTACATAAAATAAGGCATTCCGTAACTGGTTTAATAAATAGCCATTGAAGGTATATAGATAGAAAAACAACGATTAGAATAAATATTATAATTGCGTGAGTTATATCCGTTATACCTATAATCTGAGAAAAAAAATTATATTTCACACGGCAGAGAAACACATTTACTGCCTTGGCTAGTTTCATTGCCTCGGTTGGGCCATGCTAGCCGTGGCAGTAAATCTGTTACTTATCTGCCTAGTTAAACAAATAACTATTTAAGTAATCTAAAATTTAAATTGTATTTTTTAGATGGCTGGTACGATTGTAACATTCGAGTTAATGCTGTTCCAATTTGCTCCAATGGATTCCAAATACCGGATATATAACAGAACTGAAGTCTGTATAAATGAATAAAAACCCTTTTATATACATTTACGAATAGATATTTTTATTCCCACTAACCGAAACTCCAATAATTTTTAACCCTCATTTTTAGGCCAAGCGATACGCCCTATAAAGGATATTTGTAAAAGGTGCTTGGAAGTAGGACCTTTTTCAACCTTTTTTTTAAGTAGCGAAATGTGTATTTACCGATACCGATAACGATACCTCGATACCTACTATGTTGAAGTCGTCGCAATGTACAGGTATGCGTTCGTTAGTCGCGAAAATAGTCAAAACGGATTCAGGGGACCCCAAAAATCCAAAAATCCGTCGAAAACTCAAGGTCGAAAAAAATCTGGATTCCTATACTTTCCTTATCTGTATACAAATAGGAAAGTAAAAATCGAATGTAATTTTTGTCTCATTGTGGAACACTTTCCTTAATGTATAAATATAGATATGAACAAAGAATTGTAGATTACAATTGTTTGTCTAGATCTTATGAAAAGTACAATTTAAAAAATACATTTTTTAAAAGAAAAGTTAAAAAAATTTGTTTCACTAAATTTCAATTTTTCCACTCTCTGCAAGTAGGCGATACACTACAGTGTTGTCATACCAATTAATTTATTTGTAATAAAAATTTAAACTCATAGTTCAAACTTATATTAATAGTAAATTCGACGTTGATAACCCTTTACTAATAAAGACAACTTTTTATGAAGAATTAAATACAAAAAAATATTATAAAACACTTTATACTGATGGTTCTAAATTAAATAATCAAGTAGGTTACGCTTTATATTATCCCTAAGTATTATCCCAATAAAGAGATCCAAATTTTAAAACTGTTACCAAATGTTTATAGCGCAGAATTATTAGCAATTAAAGAAGCCCTTTCAGAAGTTTAGTTCATCAGTTTTTTAATTTTAATTCAAAAGTTAATTATATAATTTTGGACATTTTGAAACTAAATTTTGAGGCAAGAAATCAGGATAAACGAATACCCATATCTTGGGTCAAAGCCCACGTAGGAATACCTAATAATGAAAAAGCAGACTTTTTGGCTAAAACTGCAACAAAACTCAATTACATAAGTAATTTTAAAATACCCCTATCCGATCTAAATACTTGTTTAAGATATAGAAGGGATCAAAACTGGCAAGCAAAATATGTAGAGAAGGAAACACGTAATTTTTATAAATCTATTCAACCTAATGTAAGGGTAAAATCGTGGTTTAATAAGCTATCAAATAGACCACTAATCCAAACGATTAGCAGAATTAGAACTAATCATGCTTTATACCCTCAATATAAGAAGCGAATAGGTCTTAGTCAGTTTTAAATTGTACAAATATATATCCCGTGTGCAATAGTGAAGCAATATCATGCGATACCTTAAAATTTTCAGAATTACGAATTTTAATGGAGCGTATCTCGCAATGGTGGCGGAAGAGTAACAACCATCCTTATACTACCCTACTGCGGATATTAAGGAAACCCCCGTTTCTTTAATTAAAATTGGCATCGAAATTGGCTGTCATAGTATCTATTTACCTTTTTTGTTTCAGGTTACGTCGATGGGATGTTTAAAAAAATTTGGGAAACCATCCCCCGATTGGGAGATGGTTTCGTAACACAGCTTTTTAGGTTGCTATTAATTAACTATTACAACAATACTCAAGTAACATAAATAATAATTGATGTAACTACTAAATCATAGCCGTCTAGGATCCTATAAGCTGTGGTACAGCCATTGCTCTTTTTTAAACACACCTTACCATTTTTGTTTCGACAGTTAAAATTGTCATGAAATCATCCCCGTCATGGGAATTACTTCATATTGCAAACCCAACATTACCCAGTAGCCATAGTATTTACCACTTTTGTTTAGATAACGTCGCGGAGATATTTAAAAATATTATGAAACCATCCACCGATTGGGAGATGATTTCATACCACAGCTTCTTCAGTTTCAGAAAAAGTCACAGTGATAGTTAAAAATGAAAACTATTAAAAAATAAGTGTTAAACTATAAGTAGTGATGATATGTGTTGCTTGCGTACTCGAAAAACTAATAAAGGATTCGTTAAAACTCCATCACACACTGCCTACGACATCCTTGCTGAAATTCTGGTGAAAATCAAGAAATGGGATCCGCAACAGGAGCAAGATGTACCTATACTTATTTTACCACCAGACCATTTTACATCAGATAAAATAAAAGATTTAAAAGTGAAATGGTACCTTGAATGTTACAAAAAAAAAATAACAAAAAAAGATTCTTTGGGACGAATGGAGAAAAGTATGGTTCCCAGCAATTGGAAACTACAACTAATGTTCAAGAAACCAATAATATTGTCTATGGTATGCCGTCAGGTGCAACAACATCAAAGTTTACAAGAAGCAAAACAACACCCTATCAAAAAAAAGAGGTTTGTGTTTTTTGCGACAAAGAAAGTACTAAGCGTCAACCATTACTACACGTATCTTATGATTCGTCGGGTCTATTAAAGAAGCGGTTGAAATATCTAAAAACGTTGTTGTTCCTGTTAGATTATCTGAATAAAATAGTCCAGGGGATGCTCACGCTGTAGACATATGCTATCATAAGAACTGCTGGAACAATAATATCACTAATAGACAGAAAAGTAAGGCTGAAGAATCATCTGTTGAGTGTCTTGTTTCTTGTATAAAGTCGTTTCTTAGAAATGGAAATACAAGCTGTATGGCTGACCTGCACAGCACTTATCTAAATATACGGAGTGGCCCAAAAGTCTGGAAACGGCCAATTATCTCGTAAATTGCTAATCTTAATTGTACAAAATTTGGGGTACACCTATTTTGGGATACGCAAATTTCAGATTTAATATTTGCAATCTTGCCAGATTTGCCGTTTCTCTTATATTATTAGTCACTTTGGTTTTTCAAATTCATCACACTGTTTATTCAGTCATTATTGGAATCTCCTATTCAATGCGAGTTCAACCATATGTAACACTTATGATTTTATGTAGTCTGGAAGGTCTTAAATAAATAAAACAATCATGGAGAAATGTGGTAGACGCATTCTACCATCGATTAGGGTACTGTCAACTCACAAATGGAGCAACCATTATGTTAAAAATGTTATAATCTTTCAATTGTTACGTTTTAATGTAGTTGAAAATAGTTTGTATTAAAAAATGTATTGAGAAAATTAGGCGTTGCCAGATTTATTTTATTTATTTAAGACCTTCCAGACTACATAAAATCATAAGTGTTACATATGGTTGAACTCGTATTGAATAGGAGATTCCAATAATGACTGAATATACAGGGTGATGAATTTGAAAAACCAAAGTAACTAATAATTTAAGGGAAACTGTAAATCTGGCAACATTGCAAATATCAAATCTGGAATCACCGTATCCCAAAATAGGTGTCACCCAAATTTTGTACAATTAGACATTGAAACCACGCAACTTATGTCTTGTTTGCTCATTTATGAATGCAGTAGTGTCCACCGCAATATGTGCCGATTTGAATCACTTATAGAGTATATTCACGAGGAGGCCGATACTAAAATAATATTGCATCCATTAGCTGTATCAAAAAAGGGGAGCAAAAAAATTGAGAAAATTTTTACCAGACACGGATGTATTGGTACTTGCTTTGATAAGGGCGTCCTTATTACCTAATGACAGTGTATTTATTTGTATTGGTTCTAGCTGTTGTGAAATACCATTACACCCAATATACGAATCCCTTGTCCAGTTAAAAGCTAAATCACTTCCAGGTCTCCATGCCCTCTCGGGTGCCGATGTGTTTATGCTAGCGTGAATATAAAAGTGATTAGTGTATTTAATTCTTGTTTAGATTTCAAATTTAGTATGATTTCTAGTCTCAAAGGTCAAATTTAACTTGTCATTGTCATTTTGACACGTGACCAATAAAGTCTAGAGCGTTTATTTATTACATCTACATTCAGATCTAATCCTTTATCACGTGATAAAAAATTCAAAAAATTTCAGATGCATCCGATGTGGATATTTAAACGCGGTATCAGTTACCTATAAATTTTAAAAACTACTGGCATTTGAGAGTATATATAACATACTCTATCATTTCGTCAAAACACTCAAATTAAAATTTTAACTAGGAAATAGAAATAAAACATGTAAGTAGCGATGCTACCATTAAAATTATTTGTAGGTACACCTGTCACGAAAAAATGTTAAGAAAAGGAAAAAAAAAATAAAATAAAAAAAAAAATACAAATAAAAAAATAAATTAAAAAAAAAGAAAAATAAACAAAACATTTAAACCATATTAAGTTCAGGTTATTTTAGTTAGTAAGGTAAAGCAACTTTAATGTAGTTTGAAAAATAATAAATTTTGATATACGATATTTTTATTTGTTCACGTGACAATTAACTGGCCTGTTGGTTTATATCCAGTACCACTAACTTAGTTAAAAAAAAAATGGATTAAAATATAAATGATGTTTGGTGTTAAAATGGGAACTCAACAAGAGGTATGCAGATTATTCCATGAAATGCACTCAGATCGTGAAGCTATTTCACAATCTACTGTAAGCAGAAAAGAGAAAAAATACAGAGAATTAGGGACATGTGAAGGATGCTCCAAAACAAGGGTTTCATAGCGTATTTGAAACAAGCAGTAAACCAAAAATGTACTCTTAGGTATTCATCGTCGGCATTTGGTTGTCAAAAATTTGAATGAATGCGCTCCATTACATTATTCGGGCAATCAATAAGATTAGAAGCAATTCATTGAATGACCGATTATTTGGTTAGCTTTGTAGTGAAAATGATGAAGATTACAGATGCTTGCTGCTGCACACAAGAGTACGTTGCCTCTCGAAAGATGTTTGTCTGAAACGTTTTTTAAATCTATTAGATTTTTTTGAAGACAGAGGCGAAAAATTGCGCGAAAACATGATTCTATAAAAAAACTGGATCACTTATTTGACATAACTGTTTAAAATATATAATAAAATTGATGATGAGTTGAATTTAATTAAAATAAAAA